CTTTTTTTATGTGACAGAAATTGTTAGGCCTTTTCTGAAGGCCCTGATGTTCCCCACGGATGCTGATCCTGTATCGGCTTGGTGCATCCATATTTTGCTAGCTAGCTTAGTTTCCTTGATCTAAAATGCATATTAAACAGAGCGAGTTTGAAGTTGAAGATGATATGAATCCAGAAAACATGGATTGATAGATAAAACATAGATGGATTGAAATTCATTAACAGATTTTTTTAAACCGTTTTTGTTGTTTTGATCTTGGAGTGCTCCTAAATGGAAGATCTTTAACCCTAATTCTGGATCATATTTATTCATTAAGACATGCTTCTTATAACACAGGGCTTCTGAAATAGAAAACAAGTTAAAAAAAAAAAACATTCTAAAGCTTTTTTGTGATGCAGTTCAAGTTTAATTTCACAACCAAAAAAAAAAAAAATCAGATGGCAGTTTTTTTTAAATAATTCAGTTGCTCCACTTTCATATCTCACCATATGATTATTCATTTTTTTGTAAGATAAGAAGAATGCATTACTGCCATATTATGGCCTGGCATTTTCCCAAATGTTTGCATTTACTTGAAAAGGTTCTCCTCTTTATGTTGTATTGCACTTCAGTGAACAAAGCAATTAAAGTACATTACATTAATACTATACTTCATCATACATACACATTCATTCATCCACTCACTCACTCTTACACGCATATCATCAGTGTGCCTCTTCATTTGCACCCGTGGTAACTTACAATCCTCATCCAATACAGGCAAAGTAAACAAAGTACACAAACACAGAATAGCAGCACATGATTCAGTCTCAAATATTTTTGGAGTTACAACAAAAGAATAAAAAAAGTCTGATTGCGTGAACTACTTACTTTTTCGGGGAGGCTCTCTAAAGCTGGTTGTTCAGAATGGGTTTCGTGATTGAAAACGTGCAAAGATGAAGCAATCAGAGAAAGTATGTTCTTCTTCCAGGGGAATAAGGGCACAATACTGAAAAAAACTAGGGTGTGATCTTTTCTTCTTGTGACTCGGCCTATCTAACTGCTATTTTTCAGACACTGGAAATCCACTCCGAGGCAATAATGTCCTCCATGCGGGCTCCAGAAACGTGTAAAATCAGCAAGTGTGACAGAGGTAAGGAGGCGAGAGGAATACCAATTTGGCCTTTCATACTCTGCCTGTGCATAAAGCACACTGACCACTTTTCTCGCCACTATTCCTTATTACATTTCATTCAGATACAAAGATCTTGTGGGTATGTATTTTTATGCCAAAACACTAGTGAAAACAGACTGGTTCGCCTTAGTGAGTAATCCTCAACTAATGGAATTCTGTGAAAGTCAGAGACCACACTTCATATTTTTGATTTCCAGATGGACATTAAGTGCAAACTATTCATTTGTTCAGCAGATATTTCTGAGGAGATTAGATGGAAAATAATCTATGTGCATAATGAAGGTGCAAAACAAAATTTCTAAAACTGGAATTGAAAATGATAAACCCCTTAAATGGCCAGGGCCCACCGGCACAAGTTTTATTACACACTTCTATAACCCAAGAATAGCTCAGTTAGTTTGCATTGAAGTCCCTGTAGTTACTGAATAACTGGCCTTAGTATTTAACAAGCAAGAAAATGGGACTCCTAGAAATCACCTGGATGACCTGGTAGACACCAAAACTGCCCCCATCAGATAAACAGCACCTAGATTTTATCTTTGAGAGAGAGGAGAAAATCAAGCTGCTTCAGATCTGAAAACATCCACAGGAGTCCATCCTTCCACTGTGAGACGACAACTCAGCACTGTGGGTCTGAAAGGATGTGTAGCTGTTCAAGAAGCTCTTACTCAGACAAAACAAGTCAAATTTGCACTTTAACACTGAAACTGGACATCTGAGGTGTGGTGTAAGCTTTTATGAACTGTCTAAACCTGTTATTGGGATTATTGGATCATGAGAGTCAGAAAATACAAGCAACTTCTAAGACTGAACTTTGGAGATGTGAACAATATCCCTGCAGATTTCTTTGAAAAGCTGAAAGTGAGTCTCCTGAAAAGAATGGAAGCTGTAAGAAAGCTAAAGAGTGGACACAATAAATAGTGAAAACATATGAAATTTGGTTGTTGAGGTTTCTGTGTAACTTTTTCCTGATACTGAAAAAAGAGTAACTTGCACTTAATGACCTTTTGACTGGAAATTAAATAAATGAAGGGTGGTCTCTCATGGAAACATGATTGACTTCTATTTTCAGTACAGCGGGAAAAAAGTTTACTACATAAAAATGTGCCACAAACTTTTTAAATCCAAATTAACAAAGAAAAGAAACCTGCGCTTCCTAAAATGGTCAAAAACTAAAAGTAGGTATATGAAGAAAGTTCGACAGAGGAACTGAAAATGTGGAGATTGCATGCTAGCAAGAGCGCGTCTTTTTTGGGATTGCCTTCATACAGTATAGTTTAACTTTACAGTACATACATGACCAGTAATTCCCCATGTCAGCATCTGCATCTAGACTGAGGCTGAGGAACATAGGAGCACAAAATACCTTTCAGAGACATCAGTGTTATTGTATCTATTCTATTGACCTTTTCAGGGTAATTGTTAATTTAACATGAAAACATGAAGTTCCCAAAATGTGGAAGCCATACATTTCCAATACGACCTGCACTTCAAGCCACATACAGTCACCAGAAGAGGCTGGATGGCTTTGTATTATGGTTTAATGGAAAAGTTCACACAAAAGTGCCAATGCTACTAATTAGGGGTCCAAGCACTTAATGCTGCCATGGTATAATTTTTATTAGATTTTATTTATTTATGCACCCATGTGTAATAATGTGGACCTTTGGGCAGATACAATGGCCTCTAATTAACACCCTATTACATATAGCTGATATTGATACCAGTAACCAAAAATTATACTTTTATTTGCCATATAAACCCACATATGAGGAACAGTAAGCATAAAACAAATAAAAACTTTAAAGATTGCTCGTTGAAATTTTTCAATATTTTCTTTTAAACCAACCAAAAGTGGGTGTGGCTTAAACCAAAAATGAGTGTGAGGTGCTGGAAGTGGGTATGTTTAAGGACCGCATATGGAATGTAATTTAGATAGTCCATTAGCAGTCTACATAACAAGCATGCCTATTGGCTTATGGCTGCTGATAAGACTGACTACTTAGGTAATGAAATATAGTATGGAATTATATGGAACTAAGCCACACTCCATCAGTGCCATAAAGTATTGAGTTTCAATACCCATCACAGCTGTGACACAGCTAAATTGGGCATGACAATTATTGAAAATTTTTACCTTAATTTATGTACATATTTTACAATATTTGGTAGACACTCTAATCCAGAGCCATTCTCAATAGCAAGTGAATTTAATGTTAGCATTGTTGCTAAATCACCCTTAATTGTTATATTATATAGAATTGAACCCCAGTCTCCTGTTTTTGAGGAAGTGATGTTGTCTGATGGGTTATCTGCTTAAGGGAAATGGCCACCACTAACACTACTGATTCTATAAGCCTACAGATGCTAAAAAACAGGGCGATCACAGTTATCGATCACAATTATCAGTTACAATACTGAATCGATTATAATACAATTAAATTTCCCCATATATCAGCGAATAATACATGGAACACAAATATATCATATGTCCATAATTTTTTCTTCTTCCACCAAAAGGTACTGTGGAGGGTAATCTGTGCATGGTATAGACGTGAAACTTGGTGGATGGGTAGAAACTCTTTCTGCTATTCTTATGTGAACACAAAAATGTATATGCCTAGACATACATTACATGACCTTAGTTAGTTTACCAGTTTTAGGGAATGTTTCCCAATAGGGGGCACTATTAGCTTGCAAGCAGCTGATTCTCAGTGTCCACTTGTCAGATTCATCTGAAAGTTTGCATCTTTGAGCTAGTTTGAGAAGACAAAGATAACTCAATGATTCTTCGAGTCAGGCAATGAACATGGTGACATAAAAGTACATAATACAGAAGCACAGCATTTTAAATTTTAATAAAAATGTTGCTTTTTATGAGTCCTCATACGAATTCTGTCCAATAATTATCAAACTTTAGTCTAATGATATTTAGATGAAGCCCAACTAAAATTATTGAGTGCATTTTTCATATTTAAAGGCATTCACTCATAACAACGTTAAATGCATACGGCAGAACTTTGTATGTACATCAATCTTTGGACATATCTTTGGCACAACATACATGGACTTGTTTATAAAGTGTAAGATGTTCACATTGTTTACTCAGGGGGTGCTATTTGAACCTGGAAGTGACACCACAACAATATTTCTGATTTGACACCAAACTTCATTGCAATGTTTTTTCCTGATGGCAAATGTATAAATTTCTCCATCTAAAAATAAAACAGCCTGTAAAAGCTGGGAGATATGGATCAAGAGTGGCTGCTATAAGAGTAATTGGACTCTACTTGTGAAAGTGCTTGGACCCCGATGATTGCTAATGCATTAATGTTATTAATGAACAGTATTAATTTAAAACTAGCATAGGCTAATTAAAAAAACAGGTTACTATTTTGCATCGCTACCCAGGTTAGCATTTTTGTGTAAACTATTCTTTCAGCAGAACTGATTGTGATGTTAGGTTGCACTTTTTATTCTCCTGTCTTCAGTTTGGTATTATTGCCCTTTTCTTGGTACTCAAAGCTACTTTGCTTGCTAAATTTTTAGCAAGCTAGTGTGGCAAGCTACATCCGTAAAATACTAGACGTCTCCTCCATGACCTTTAGGTGCGGATCCAGTTCTCTTCCTATATAATTACCGAACCTGCATTCCAAATATTGACCGTGGTTCAGGTTCTCAGAGTTGACAGTCCTGTGAAACACTTTCCAGTGTGCTGACTCATACTGCAGCTCAAAAAGAAAAGAAGAGAGAGATGAAAGAGAGGTGAGAATGTGATCTCCACATCTATGAGTGGTCTCAGTACTGTGCGTTTGTGTGAGAAGCATCACCAACGGGCCACCTGGCTGGCATAGTCCTCAGTGGTGGCAGGCTGCAGTTCATCCTCCTTCTCCTGCTGCTGTTCGTTCTGGTGGACCTTCTGCACGCGAAGGCGTTGGCGCTCCTCGCGTCGTTTCAGCCTCTCGTCCCGGCGCTCGCGTTGGCGCTCGAATTGGACGCGCTGCAGGAACAGGTCCTTGGCGAACTCGTATAGCTGCACGTCCAGGAAGTTGAGGCGCTCTATGCGGCGGCGCACATCCTCGCGCAGCTCCACGTTGGCGGCACGCGTGCTGTTGAGCTGCGTGAAGGCCGAGATGAAGCGCAGGCGGAAGGTGCGCTCGAACAGGTACTGCGTCTTGCGCTGGAACTCGGTCAGGCCGTAGAAGGCCATGTTCTTCAGGTTGCTCATTGCGCTGGCCAAGAGGATCGGGTTGCGCTCACTTTCGTTCATGGACGACAGGTTGTAGCAGCCCACCAAGCTCAGGTCGGCGAGCATGCGCACCTGCCGGTTGCTGGCCAGGTTGGACGGGCAGTCCATGAACTCACGCAGTGTCACGCCCGACCAGTCGTCGCCGCTGTAGCAGGCGGGCAGCTCGGCCTGCGTGGGCGAACGGCCGTCACACATGTGCAGGGACGTCTTCCAGGTGGCGCCACGCTGCACGTGCTTCCACTCGCTCAGGTAGCGCGACACAGGGTCCCTCAGCATGGTGATGTAGTAGAAGTTCCTGCAACGGTGAACGCACAGTCAGTAATGTGCTGATATCTCTGAAGCCTATAGCAAAAAAGAATGATTGATCAATATCAGTTAGTAGTGTTAGCCTCAAGCATGTCTTATTTTCTTTTTCTGAACATTCTCTGACAGTAGGCTGAATGTTTTTACGATGACTGTGATCAGGTTGTTCATCCATCAGCTGTCTGAGAAAACTCAGTCCAGAGAAATTGTAATCCACAGGCTCTTTCAGGAGAGAGCAGCTGTTAAATGAAACATATTCTTTTTACACACATCACTGCCTCTCCTCCAGAGAGAGACTATCTGCTCAGTCCTCATAAGCCTCGCAACAGCCACTGAACACTGACGAGAAATGAGAACTTTTCATTTCAATTCTTCTGCAGTTCCCAAAGACAGCAGAGGGCATTCTGTAGGTTAGACTTTTAAAAGAGACTTTTGAATTTGCCACTAACTTGAAATGCAAAGAAAACTAGGATAGTAATTGCAATAAATACGATTAAACCAATATAACACACGACCAGGGGCTATTTCACAAAGCTGGGTTTCTCAGTTAGCCAGATAAGTTAATCCCAAAGACTGTAAAATTTCAATGTCCCTCAGCTCTTTTCCTATTAGACAGGCTTGACTTTAGGGTTTTCTGGCTAAACAGAGAAATCCTGCTTTGTGAAATACCCAAGGGCTAGACAAGGGCTACTAAATCAATGAATCCTGGATTTGTGTCCAGAATTATAGAAACATGTTTATTGTATATACAACGACTGTCATTCATTAAAGTTGCGTACGGTCAAATCTGATCATGAAGTGAGCACATGCAAGTTTCACTGACAGTTTCTTTATTCACAATTTAAAAATACAAAAATCTAAAAATACAAAATAACAATAATACTTATAATTGGATTATTGGTGACAATTATATTATTGGTACTTCTTTTACATGCACATTCATATAAACAAATGCAACTACTTCACATTCCATTTAAAGACATATTACACAGTGCTTTAGTTTTATATTACTGACACCGGCCCCAAAATAAACAATATAAAACACAGCTAGTGCAGAAGTATCCCATACACTGTAATAATACAGCATTTAAATATGTTATTTTAGGGAAATAATCACACTACACAATCGCTTCACTCTATCATCTCAAAAAAAAAAGTTTTGTTTATTTCACATTTTATTTTTTCCATTCGTTGTAATTTTAACATTATAAAATTTAGTCAGTAGGGGGGGCAGTGTGCTCACTGCTTGACCTCAAACTACACCTACAAGCACATTTTATGGCTTCCTACCAAAACATCTGCACAAATTAGGGCGTGCTTCATGTAAATGATATTTAAATGAGGTGCTGGTAGGCTGGTGCTTGATTTCACGCACTGCGGTTGATTCATCCTTTGTGCTTAAATCTTCATTGTTTTCACGTTGTACCAAAGTTTCATGAATCAGATGCAGAGTAGTTCAGATGACATTAAAGGAGGTCAAATCTGCGCTCCTTTTTACACAACCTTGAGGAAAAAGAACGATGTATATACAATTATCAATCAGGCATCAGGAGCATCAGGCACTACAAGACAACACCAAAATCCAATACCAAAACAGTACATTGGGCATAATTCACCAACCATTCTTAAGATAAAATTTCTTCATAAAAAGCACTTCCACAGTTTTTATGAAGATTCTGACATTCACCAATGTTTTCTTATTCGGGATTTGTTCTTAGGTAAGAACAGAATCTACACACATTCAAGAGCACAATTCAGGCATCTGACGTAGACTTTTTCTTAGGAGCTTTCTCAAGAACGTATATTGGTGAATGAGGCCAATTTATCCTTCAGTTATACAGAAATACCTCTGCAGGCCAATTTATTACTAAATATTCAATATTAAACCCCATATCATAATATCCCTCAAGTGGAATGGAATAGTCTAGACTGGATTAGATTAGATCAAATCCAGCAGTCGATATCAGTCAGAAGAAGTGGTAGAGAAAAAGAAAGGCGGGACACATTTAGAAAGGGTTCTAAATGTCTTCTTTACGGGATGGGAGTGATCAGTTCAATTTGATCTGCAGTTTGACGTACATTGTCACAGCACTTATGAAATAATAATAATAAGGTTTTTACTGAATTCTGAAGGCTTTGTCCAAAATCAGAGTTTAGTTATCTGGGGTTGGAGTGAGAGATGAGGCTTGAATGTTGTTTTCTTTGCCATCCAAGGTTCTTTTAAAAAGTCTTTGCCAACATATTTTTCTTGCCTCGCTTGTTTATTGTCCAGCTTTCACGTCCATAAAGAACTACAGATAAGATCATAGCCTGAACAGGTCTTTGTAGAGACAAATGGTTGCATTTGCAGATCTCTTAAAGCTCCTTCATTCTTGTTCTGCCGAGTGCCAATCTGTGTCGTATTTATTGAGTAGTGGATCTTCTGTTGTTAAAAACTGATCTGAGTAGGCAAAAGCTGTCCACTGTTTCCACACCTTCTCCATCAATGGTAATGTTAGCAGTCTTTCCTGCTAGTCTTAGTCTTCTTCGTATTGAGATGAGGTCTCATCTGTTCACTGTTCTTTAACCTGCTCCATAAGGGCCTTCAGGTCTTTCAGATTTTCCATTATGAGTGATGTATTATCCATATATTGAAGGTTATTGATGATTCTTATACCAGTCCTAAATAGTGTTTCTTCAATCCTTCTTCTCTCTTTATATGTTTTGCTTACAGGTTGAACAAGTATGATGACAGTATACAGCCTAATCTAACTCATTCGTCAATATGAAACCAGTCTGTTTGTTCATCTTGTGTAGATCAGCAATGATATCTCTTGCCCTTCTGCCTTTCTTAAATCCTGCTGATAGGCTCCAGTTCTCCCCGTGACCCAGAAGGATAAGTGGCTTAGAAGATGTGTGTGTGTGTGTGTGTATGTGTGTGTGGGTGTTTTGTAAGGAGTTACATGACTTACTTCTGTCAAGTATTCATGAAATTTAACAATTGTACTCTTAATTCTGTTTCCATGAGAAACTTTTGGCTCATTACATTTTTATTTAGACAAAGCCCTCTTTATTCAAATCCCTCATTACAAATCTCAAAAGCCACAAGATTGTTTTTTTTTGTTTTTTTTTTCTCTGGTGAATCACATATTTTATGAAATCTCATACATTTTATTTCCTTATTAAAACGTCCAGTCCAAATTACATCAGTGTAAAATGAAAATGTCCGCAATTTTGCTAATCCATCTCTGACCAACACCACCCATTAATCGCTGCACCACACACCACCTGCTTGCAGAATATTTTCCTTATGGTTGATCGCTCAGCAAAATAGCTAGTCATGCAGTACTGGGCATAATCAGCTGCTTTCCAGCACTGCTGAGGAAGATACTGAGGAAGATGATGAGCAGCACTGCTGAGGAGTAGGTTTTTTCCCTCTCCTGTAAAGCTACCATTTTGGAGTTTTCTTCTGACAACAGTGATATACATATATGTGTGTGTGTGTATATAGTTGTCACATAGTACTTATTTACCAAAAGGTATGTCTTTCCACTTTATGCTGCTATTGAACAATGCCCAAGTTGTGATAAAAAACAATCTGACCAAGTTCCCACCCTCAGGTTACCATCATCAGCTCCTTAGGATCAAGAGGGACCTTCCCTGAACCTCTGTTAAAGAGCTCTCCCTGAAAATGGGTTCCTCTACAGGCACAAGTTGAAGGACCCTGAAATGCTCTACCTGGAGGGTTTGCTTCTTTAAAAGTGCAGAAGTCAGTGGTGGCGTATTAGCAGCAGGCTGATGACTTAATGAAGGGAGAAATGTCAGGCTGGGAGAAATGGCCGGCCGACTGCAGAGAGCTCCTAAAGCGGTTGTGCAGGTGGTGACTGGCCGGTCTGTCTCTGAGGAGACATATCTTCTGAGCTGGAGAGAATACGGAATGAAGGCAGTGATACTGTGATGTTTCCCCAGAGAGGAGACAATGGCTGCGAGAGAGCTTCTCTACATTCCCCTTATCCATCTTCATCTCCCTCAGGAACACGGCTAAGGTGGCCATGACAAAGTCACTGCTCTTTCAAACGACAGGTTTCTGCCTTTGAGTAATCAGAGCTTGGCGCAAAGCTCGTTCTCGGACTCATTCTCAGCCCACTTCAGGTGCCTATTCAGCCATCTGAACATTAACTACAGGTAGAGATGGCATGATACCAATACATCTTTACAGATACCAAACGCTTGAATACTAGCTGAAACCAATCTGATCTTTTATGTATTCATTTTAATTGCTAAGCTTTTACATTACTTATTTTGAACATAAGTACTCCATTTAAGGTGGCTATCTAGGAGTATCATGCATAAACTGGTCAAATACTACTGGCCAACAACATGACTTGTACAAAACCTGCTCGCACTGTGGTGCACAACAAACAACTGAAACACGGGTCAAAAACTGCAGGTCTTTCAAGTGACCTCTAGTTCGGTTCGCTCCTGGTCAGAACTAATTTTTACGATGATCTGGACCAAATGAGCAATCCTAATTCAATAAGTTTTGTTTGTTATTTTTGAGTCGAGTCACAAGCCAGTTAAGCATGAGTCCGAGTTGAGTTGCAGGTTAGTTAAGTGTGAGTCTGAGTCCAGTTGCACGTGAGTCCAAGTTAAATCGCAAGTCAGTTAAGCGCAAGTCTGAGTCACGTTGCCACTCGGTTAAGAGTGAGTCCAAGTTGAGTCAGGTTGGTTAAGCACAAGCCTGAATCGTAACACACTTAAGGGCATGTCTGAGTTAAGTCATGAGTCAGTTAAGTGCATTCCCAAGTTGAATTGTGAGTCAGTTAAGTGCAAATCCAAGTCGAGGCACAAGTCAGTTAAGTGTTAGTCTGAGTTCAGTTGTGCATGAGTCCAAGTCAAGTCACGAGTCGGTTAAGCCTGTGTCAAGTTGCCACTCGGTTAAGAGTGAGGCCAAGTCAAGTAAGTTAAGCGCAATTCTGAATCCTGACACACTTAATCGCATGTCTGAGTTAA